TCGAGTCTGCCAGTTTTTACTGATATCTAATTAAAGCTATGTACCTAATTGAATTATATCTGCTCAGCTTGGAGATGAAGGTGACTTTAAACATCACAGCCTTAGCTAGCCACACTTATGCGTAGTAAACCTAAGAGAATGCTATACGAACATCAATTGTCTTTTGTTCTTTACTAGTTCGATATCTCAGGGCCTTAGATTTGATGATATAAACGTTAAGTTTGTTTGTAACGGTCATTTTTCTCATAATGGAACAAGAAACGGAGAAAGATATTTAACTGTTTTTCTTTGTTATATATATTTTTCAGTTTCTAGGGACAAATACATTCTCTTTCCGGATGGCACATTACATGTCAATCGTGTAACTACAGAAGACGGGCAACAGAGTTTCAGGTGCTTTACAAAAAACCGCCTTACTGGGGAAACAAAAGGAAGCGAAAACATGGCTCATCTTGTAGTTCTAGGTAAGAGTCTCGAAACTCCGAAATAGACAAAAATTAAGGTATACTTACGAATGCACGTATCTCAGTTTTCTCTCTGTTTATGTATTACTTCCAGTGGTTTGTTTTATTAATATAACCCGCTGGCCACCCATATTTTAAGTATATCTGCAACATGTGGGGCTTGAGAACTGAGGATAAAACTGATGAAGAGTGTATCTCTACTGATTTGTATGACATAGTTCTGCAGATATCTTAAAAGCAAAGTTACAATAGATAACGTTTAACACTATAACTTTATATTATAGTGTTATTTTTGTTGTTTTGTCTTCGTTGTTATATTTGTTTTTCTTAAGTTCATGTTTTATTTTGTATAGTTTATATGTATATACGTATGCAACCATTTTAAGATCTTAATATATTTTCATTTCGTAAATTATTTAATTAATTTTGATTTGATATCTTTTACTTAATATGAAATTCGGTACCGGAGTGTTTATGGTAAAACGTTATATTGAAGATAATACAAAACTACCTTTTTATGACTACAAATCTGTGTCAATCTTAGATATCTATAATACTGGAAACTCGGAGGCCTAAATATAATTTCGCACATAATAAGCGGTTATGAAGAGAGTTAACATTTTTCTTTGGAGTTCAAAACTTGTTGAATATGTATGTCTTTTTTTTCATTACTTTAATATTCACTGCCTACAAATGTTGTGATGAAATTATCCACATGGCTCCATTGTGTTTATTGAGTGAAAACATGTGCAATCAATTTCCTGTAGTTAAACTAATTATATTACGAACTCTCCATACCGGGAAAATTTTGATTTCGTCAAGAGATATATTTTATCAGAAACTTGCTGGTTCCCTCTGGAGCTCCAAAGTTCAAATACAAATAACCCAGTTAACGCACAACCCTTCTTGATGGCTCGTTATGCTCACCAAGTTCATGTTCGCCACTAATATTTTTCGTTTTTTGTATATTCAAACTAAAGATGAATGATAGATACAAACATACACTGGCAGCTATAATACCCGATAATTACAATATCCGCATCGGTTGCTGGGAGGCTTATCCCACTTGAAGTAGCATAAATCAATTCGTGTCCCGACTGTATATATATTTATCTGTTGTTATTCGTCGTTAAGCTCAAAGCTATACAATGGCCTACCACGAGTATCGAAACACAGTTTATTAGCGGTGTGAGCCCGTAAACTTGTCGCTGAGCTACTGGGGACCTTTTAAATATTAATAGTTTTAAAATGAATCCAGAAAACCTGACGTATTTTGTAAGTAAAAGCTATTTATTTCTTTTGGCTCTGAAAAATAGAGAACGTGAAAGAATTAAGTGACAAATAAAACATATTCAAATTAACCTTTTAGTAGAACCCCTACTTCTCGAACTATGATAAGAAATATGATGAATTTTTAGAATAACTTATTAAATGCACCTCTACAGACATACACTTTACAGGTCTCGTGACTATGAATAATAGATAATCTATTCAGTGATATGTTTTTCGAACGTTTGCTTTAATTAAATACACAAAAAATTAATTACAAAAATATTTTGTTGTAAATAATCTCTGGAAATGTTTTTGGCATTTTTCTTTTTGTTTTACTTTTATTTTTCGAAATTAAATCAATGAGAATATAATTTCGTAATAATGTCTTTATAAATATTTATCAAAACATTTCATGCTTCACCAGAATGAAAATAATTATAACTTAAAAAAAGAAGTAAAAAATATATAAAACAGGCTACATTTAAAAAATTATAAAAATAAGCTCTATTTTCTTCTGCTATGTGATACTATTTGTCTCATAATGTTGTCTGGTTATCAGTATTACAAACACAGAAAAATAGACCATGAACGAAGTGAAAATCTCCTAGATGAAGTAACTTGGCGAAAATCTCCTAGATGAAGTAATTTGGCGAAAATCTCCTAGATGAAATAACTTGGTGAGAATCTCTTAGATGAAGTAATTTGGCGAAAACTTCCTAGATGAATCAGTTTGGCGAAAATCTCCTAGACGAAGTAATTTGGCGAAAATCTCCTAGTTGAAGTAATTTGGCGAAAACTTCTTAGATGAATCAATTTGGCGAAAATCTCCTAGACGAAGTAATTTGGTCGAAAATACCCTAGATGAAGTAATTTGGCGAAAACTTCCTAGATGAATCAATTCGGCGAAAATCTCCTAGATGAAGTAATTTGGCGAACACTTCCTAGATGAATCAATTTGGCGAAAATCTCCTAGTGAAGTAATTTGGCGAAAACTTCTTAGATGAATCAATTTGGCGAAAATCTCCTAGATGTATTAATTTGGCGAAAATCTCCTAGATGTATTAATTTGGCGAAAATCTCCTGTATGAAGTAATTTGGCGAAAACTTCCTAGATGAAGTACCTTGATGAAAATCTCCAAGATGAAGTAATTTGGGGAACATATTTTCGATTTGGTGCTTGCCTGCAGTTTATTTTCCATATAAACCCACTATATGAATATAAAAACTAGAAAACGGGTTTAGTTATTATATATTTTTATTACTCTATGTATTCTGTATTAAACAAATAAGAATCAAAGTGTGCAGATCTCTGCTTTCTAGAGTGTTCGATTCTGAGACTGCACTAAAGTTGAGTGGACACAGTCAGGTAAGCCTACTTTCCATTTACTAATGCACGGTGTAATGTTTTTATTACTCAACCGCAGAGAATCTGTTTTTTTTTGTTTCAAAGTAATAATTAAACTTATAAACTGATTATAAGCCACCCCCTTGCTAATTTGGAAAAAAATACCCGTCTTGTTGTGGAAAACTCTTAAGTACCTAAGTACAGTGATTGGGAAAAAGGAAAACACTTTCGTTAGTGTTTAATTGCATTTCTCTAAAGTAAAAACACTTTATAACAGTTTATAAAGTAAAAACACTGTGCATAGTTTAGGCCTTATAACCTGTTTCACAGACTTTGTTTCTACCAACTGGACGACTGATATTAAAAGCTTCCCTTCTAATCTTAATCAGTTTCGGCTCGGCATGGCCAGGAGGTTAGGGCACTCGACTTCCAATCTGCAGGTCGCAGGTTCTAATCCCCGTCCCACCAAACATGCTCGCCCTTTCAGCCGTGGAGGTGTTATAATGTGACGGTCAATCCTACTATTCGTTGGTAAAAGAGTAACCCAAGAGTTGGCAGTGGGTGGTGATGACTAGCTGCCTTCCCTGTAGTCTTACACTGCTAAATTAGGGACGGCTAGCGCAGATAGCCCTCGTGTAGCTTTGCGCGAAATTCAAGTAAACAAACAAACAAATAATGGCGTGAGTAACAATGCAAAGTTGGAAAAAATGAAATGTGTCTTCTTCAAAAAGGGAGGGAGGATTACAACAAAATTACATCCATATGATTTTCGACGCCATGAAATGTCTATGTTATTTCAAATAAATTTCATGGCTGAGAATCAAAATGTAACGTGACCTAACGAAACAGACGTGATTTCAGGAATTAACACACAAGAAAACTGAAACCTACAATGAGTAGAATGCGATGAATTATCAGTGGTTACCCTCGCTATGAATAAACGACATTTTACTCTGTGACCCCTACGTGGACAACAACTTGACATAATAATAATCTTTTCGCTCCGAGAGAACCATCTAGATTATCGCAAGAACCGAAGTCGAACAAGCAAAGCGACATTTTTAAAGAACTTCATGTCCAAATATAATGGAAAAGTTTTAACAGTTTTTAAAGTTTAGCCTGAGGATTCATGGTTCGAGTTCTGTTGCCGTTAAAACACGTTCCTTACTCTGGGGCCGTGGGTGCGCTAGAACAGTGGTGGTCAAATCCTATTACTCGGTCTAATAAAAGTTCGTGGTGTGTGTTGTTGACTAGCTCTTTTCCTTTTAGTCTCTCAGTGCAATATTAGGAACGGCTATGCGCAAATAGCCATTGTGTAGCTTTACGCGCAAATTCAGAAATAAAAAAACAAGGTTATCACTTTACAAAATACACGCTTCGTTATTACTGAAATGGATAATGACCATAGAAAATTTTTACCTATGTATATGTAAATAGTTTCAAAGTCTCTGCACCTTCATCACGTCATCAATTTTCTCAAGCGTTAAACATACACTTGAATCAGCCTATCTTGTTTTTGTCCACATTGACAAAAAAATACGACTTATTACACGAACAATTCGTGCTACGAGTACTTTCCTGCATTAACAGTCTAAAGTGTGGGTTACTTTATTAAGAGTGGACTCAAACACATTGTTTTATTGTCCAGTTTCCATTCAACTTAGTTATGGAAGACACGGTTATCTAACGTGAGCTTACATTAGGTCAAGTATTGCGGTGAGCAATCGGTTTCTTATCAATTGGGGTTATACATCCAAAATCTTTAGACTAAATATGTGAGCTTTCAGTATTATGAAACTTGCTACACCCTAAGATGACATCACCAGACATCTGGCAGTATTCAAAACCCAAGGCTCAGACTAGCCAGAACTGTGAAACTTGCTCAACACTAAGATGAAATCAACAGACATCTGACAGTAGTTAACTCAATAGGTATAACAGGTAAACTTTCAGACTAAACAGTGCTGTGAAATTTGCTCCACACTAAGATGAGATCAGCAGACATCTGGCAGAAGTTAACTCAATAGGTATAACAAGCAAACTTTCAGACAAAACAGTGCTGTGAAATTTGCTGCACACTAAGATGAGATCAACAGACATCTGACAGTAGTTAACTCAATAGGTATAACAGGTAAACTTTCAGATTAAACAGTGCAGCGAAATTTGCTGCACACTAAGATGAGATCAACAGACATCTGACAGTAGTTAACTCAATAGGTATAACAGGTAAACTTTCAGAGTAAACAGTGTTGTGAAATTTGCTGCACACTAAGATGAGATCAACAGACATTTGACAGTAGTTAACTCAATAGGTATAACAGGTAAACTTTCAGACTAAACAGTGCTGTGAAATTTGCTCCACACTAAGATGGTATCATTAGAT